ATAGATTTTCAAGTACCAGGGATGAAGATGTATATGAAACTTTTAATGTCTTAATGAGAAGGAAGCCAAAGGTAATATAATTCCTTTCATTTATGTTTTACTATTATAACTTCTAAGAAGTCTTTTATATGGTGGCAATAATTTTAGGAAAACAATTTCAAAGCTGTTCTTGAAACGATTCGCGATTTAATGCAAAGTGAATTGGTGGTACCAGATTGGTTACATAACATATTCTTGGGTTATGGTCACCCTGGTAACGCTCATTATTCCATGATGCCAAATCGACCGAAAGAAATTGATTTTCGAGATACTTTTTTAAATTACGAACATTTGGTTGAAAGTTTTCCTGGCAAAGTAAGATAATATTTACTTGTAAACTTGCAAGTTTTCAGATTTAAAAATAAAATTTTTATAACTTGTATTATTTATTAATTTAGGATATTTTACCAGCTGAAGGGTTTAAAGCACCCATTCCACCACCTTACATCCTACAATTTTCTGAGAATATTCAAATCTCAAAAAAGAGGAAAGTTGATGATTCTGAAAATATAAACCCTTCTCAGTCTAATGTAAACCCAGATCAGATATTGGTCAAAACATATAGTTTACCAAATATGGGACCTTATCCATTTAATCAGCCTAAAAAAAATGTCATTAAATTTACTCCCGTACAAGGTATTTTATTGTGTTTACAAATGAATGTCATTATGCTACTAGTATGATATATATTCATTATATTTTTCATTAGTGGAAGCTATTAAAGCAGGAACCAACCCTGGTCTTACTATGGTCGTCGGTCCTCCAGGTACCGGTAAAACAGACGTAGCTGTTCAGATTATTGCCAATCTATATCATAACTTTACTGATCAGCACACATTATTGGTTACACATAGTAACCAAGCTCTGAATCAGTTATTTGAGAAGATTATGGCTCTTGGTGATTATATATTTCCTTACATCTTACTTAATACTATTTTAAAAGAATTAATAAGTTTGTCATTGCAACTATTTATTAAATATAGATGTTGATGAGAGACATTTACTTAGATTGGGTCATGGTGAAGAGGAACTCAATACAGAACTGAGTTTTAGCAAATATGGCAGAGTCAATTCATTTTTGGTATATACTCTTTTTTTTATTAAAGTTTAGTATGTAATTTTATTAAAACAATTTTTGTCTATAGGAAAAACGTCTATCGTTGCTTTCGGAAGTAGATCGTCTTGCCAAATCATTACAGATTGGTGGTGAATATGGATATACATGTGAAACTGCTGGATATTTTTATTTGTATCATGTATTGTCGAAATGGGAGCCTTACATTGATAAATGTAGGCAAGGATTAATAAATAAGAATTTCGATGTAGAAAAAATAAGGAATGAGTTCCCTTTCACCGCATATTTTAATGATGCCCCCCAACCACTATTCCCTGAAGATGCAAGTTATGAAGATACCTTAGAAATTGCCGAGGGGTGTTTCCGTCATATAGAAAAAGTATTTACAGAACTTGAGGAGATTCGTGGATTCGAATTACTTAGAACTAGTTATGATAGAGCTAATTATTTATTAACGAAGGAAGCTAAAATTATTGCTATGACTTGTACTCATGCGGCGTTAAAAGTATTTTATTTTTGACATAACTTATGGTAAAATATTGAATTTTATTTTTAAAACTAATTCAATATTTTTATTTAGCGGCGCGAATTGGTTTCTTTAGGATTTAAATATGATAACGTAGTAATGGAAGAGGCAGCACAAATTTTGGAAGTCGAAACATTCATTCCTTTGTTATTACAAGAAACTGAAGATGGTCGAAGTAGATTGAAAAGAGTGATTATGATTGGTGATCATAATCAATTACCACCTGTAGTGAAAAACATGGCTTTTCAAAAATTTGGAAACATGGAACAAAGTTTATTCACTAGATTTGTTAGACTTGGTGTTCCAACCATTGATCTAGATGCTCAGGGACGTGCTAGGCCCTCTATAGCGAAATTATATAATTGGCGTTACAAAAATTTGGGTGATTTGTCATCAGTAATTGAAAAGGATGAATATAAAAATGCTAACGCTGGTTTTATATACGAATACCAATTAATAAATGTTGAAGAATTTATGGGTAAAGGTGAAAGTGAGCCTGTTCCATATTTCTATCAGGTAGGGGTTATGTTGAAAGTGCGTTTATTTACACGTAATTTATAATTAACAAGAAAAATTTTTACAGAATCTTGGAGAAGCAGAATATGTCGTTGCAGTATATCAATATATGCGATTGTTGGGGTAATTTATTTTCTTCACGGTTCTTTATTTCTATTATTTAGCTAAGATGTTTTATCCATCATATAGTTATCCAGCTGAAAAGATTACAATCCTAACAACTTATAATGGGCAGAAAGCTTTAATAAGGGATGTTTTGAGCCAACGATGTTCATGGAATCCTTTATTTGGTCGCCCAGCTAAAGTTACAACAGTTGATAAGTTTCAAGGACAACAAAATGATTGTAATTATATTATGTCTTTAATTTTGATTTTTAAGATCTTTTTTGAATTTTAATAATCATTTCATTCTTAGATATCCTTTTATCTCTGGTTCGTACGAAAACTGTTGGGCATATACGAGACGTTAGACGTCTTATTGTGGCTATGTCTCGTGCTAGATTGGGTCTTTACGTATTTTGTCGCAGGTCTATATTCGAAAATTGTTATGAATTAGCACCTACATTTAATAAACTTTTGGAACGTTCAGATAAATTACAATTAAAAATTAATGAAATGTGGCCCTCAAATAGAAAGGTATATGATCATTTTCATTCGTTTATTATTAATTTGTTTTACATTAAATCCTTTTTTTTTTATGTAGTTCGATGATTATAGTGATGTATATGCAATTGCAGATGTTACACATATTGGAAAATACGTATATCAAATGATGCAAGAACAATTAGCTTTTGCAAAAGAGCAAAAGGCTAAAATGGAAGCAGCGGAAGCAGAAGAAGCAGCAGATTCATTAAATAAGATGGATTTTAATAAAGATGTAGAAGATAAGGAGAATGGCATTGAGGAAAATGATGAAGAAAATGAGGAAGAAAATGAGGACGATAACGAAGATGGGGAAGAAATGGACGCGGAATGATGAGAAAAATATATATACATATATATCTTAATAAATAAAAGACTCGAAAATATATTTTTTAATTAAAATTATATAGTATATAACGATAATAAAATTTCGAAATAAAAAAAATTTGTAATTAATATTATATCATTTAATATTTACTATGCAAAATTCGTATTTCATAACTATCTAATTACATATAATTATTGTTATTTACTATATGTATTCTATTTTATCTTATTATATACAGTAACTTACATACGTATCTTTTCTTTTACTATATCATAATATAAATCATCTAAATCATTATTTATTAAATTAATTAAAGGTTTTCTTAATTAGAATCTTAAGGATTAATTGCTTAGCTATTATAATTATTTGAAGCTTTTTGAATTTGATTTACTAGAAAAGCTTTTAATCTTTTGTTAAAGGTCAATTATAATATTTAGAAACTAAAAAATCTATTATATTTATTGATTTTAATCAAATAATTGAATTATTTTTTTCAATTACAGTTTTTTTTTATAAAATTTATAATTATAAGCTTATTTGGTTTGATTTATTATTAGATTCAACTAAACTATTTTATTTTAATTTGACTTGGTCTAATTTAAGGCATTTAATCAACTATCATATTTTATTGAAATAGTATTTAATTTCAATACTTTTTAAAAAACTTTTTAAATTCAATAAAATTTTTTATTTAATTTTTTTACTGAAAAATTAATCATTATTTAAGCATTTATAGTATAATTTAATTAAAGGATTTTTATAATTGTGTAATATATATAAGTTACAATACTTAAATTTTAATTTTATATAATCTTTATAATTTTATTTTATAAAAAATTTTTTGAACTATTTCATATACTTAAACATTAATATATCTTATATTCTATTAATCAAAAACTATTGTTACTTATGCTATTCAACATAAAGAAATGAAGCAGTATAATATTTTAAACTTGATTAAACTATAGTTAAATATTGAAATAAGGTAAATAAAAATTAAACAAGTAAAATAAAAGATAAAAGTATGCATGTAAATTCTAACTGAAAAGTTTTTTTATCTAGAAGCTGAAAAAAAATTATATTATTAGATTTAAAGCAAAGAAAAAGGGATTAATTATAATATTTGTAACATATGAATTTCAATGTTTAAAATTTTAAAGAAAATAAAATAATAGCTTTTTATAGTAGGTTAATTGTAGAATTTAAAACAACTACATGTTGTTTAAATATGTTTATAAAAAGGTATAATTTATTTACATGTTAATGTACAAAAATATTGCAAACTTTCTGATCAATTAAAAAAAATTGGAATAGTTTTAATAGTTTTATTGATTTAATATTCGTCTCAGAATCTGAAAATTTTTTGAATTATTTAATATTTTTAATATAAACAAAATATCAGTTTAGTTTGACATAACTAGAAATTTTATTATTAACATAAAGGAAAATAAACTAAACATATTTATATAATAAGCAATAAAAAAATCAGTTTACTATTATCTTGATCTGTATTACAGGTAAAATTCTTATAATTTATTAATAATTTTTTAATAAAATTTTCAATAATTACATTATTTTATTACAGATAAAATAAAATTACCATTAATTTGTATTTTAAGAAAAAGCAAATAGGTTATAGACTAGCAAAATGCCCCTCTGAGACCCTTCGTCAAAAAAATTTTTTTTTGTTTTAATATAAGTCTGATATGCTTAACTATATAATAATCTAATTTTTTAAGCATACAAGTATAATAAATTATCGAAATATTTACACAAAAATTTCTTTTTCAAAAAAAAGATCAACAATCTAAAATTAGTACAATATGCATTCTTAATTAAGCAAATAAAATTCGATATAAAAAAAATATTAATTTTTATTTATGGCTTAGGACATATAATATTCTGAAATGGATCATCAACAAACTTTCAAATATTTTTATATAAATATTCTTGACATGTTAATGATAAAGGTTTGGATGGTAATACAGTAATTATTGTCATAGGATTAAAATTCTTGTTTTTTAAAATATCAAAAGTACTAAACTCTCCTGCTATCTTCTTTTGAATAAAAACTTTTCTTAATTCACTTCTTTTAAACCAAAAATGCTGATACTTTTGAATACCAAGTAAATCTTTAAAATTAGGTTTTAAGAATGATTCAAAATCATAATAAAGCCATCCATTTCCTCCATCATAATGAACAGCATAATTAGTACCATTTTTAGTAGATTTATTTATTACTTATTCAACGTCATCTACTGTATTAACCCTTATTTTTCGAAAAGAGTTTTGATATTACCAAAATACCTATCTGGTAAAAACTTTGTGTATTCTGGCACCATACAATTAACTTCAATAGTATTGTATATTCCTACCATTGTTAATCAAAACCAAAAAAATAAAGAAAGATTATTCTTGTTTTGACCTATACAATTATCACAAGTGACTTTTAAATATTGTTCTTTTTGGTAAAATTTGCTTAATGCATTAAATACAAGATTAATGGTCGTGTTGGCACCTTTTTTTGCAGTTCCATTTGGAAATTCATCTTCACCTATAATATAATTTAATTGTTGCGTAAAAGGTTGTTATTTTATATTACATACACCAAAAATATGTGCTACAAAAGCAGTTTTAAAATAAATTTGACCAATTTGTTGTGGTGAAAAAGGAATAGGAACATTCTACGTCCAATCATAGCAAATATGAGCAATTTCTTCATGTGTATTATTAATTGTAATATTATTATTATAATATTGTCGTTTCTTTTCTGCTTTATTTTTATGATTCTTTAAATCCAATCCTATTTTACCCTTTTCATCAAGGTTTTTTGCATATTGAATTTTTTTTTTAATATTTTACACGTATCACATAAATCTGTAGCAGATATCATAAATTTAACATGTGGTGTAAGACTCTTTCAAAGTCAAATGATATATTACTATTTAATTCTCTACTAGTTGTAACAAAATCCTCATAAACTCTAGTATAATTTTTTTCAGTTGGCAATAAAATAATTGCTAAAGAATCTGTTTGCATATGACGACCTGATAAGGGAAATCCATAAATATTTGCATAATTAATAATAAAGTTACAAACAATTGTAGCCAATTCTTGATTAATAGTAACACGCGATGTTACTTTAGGAAGATTTTTCATATTTTCATGTTATCATTTTACCAATCCTTCTATTAATAAATGATATTTAATGGCTCTTAAAGTTTCATCTTTAATGCTAACAAGTTTAAAGTAAGTGTTTTTACATAAGGAAATTTTAAAATTAAAATAATAATTAAAAAAATATTTTTTTTGATTATTTTTATCATTATTAAGAAAAGCTAATAGTTGACCCATTAAAACAAATTCCAGTTATTTTTTTTCTAAACTTTGAAATTTTAAATATTTTTCAAGAAATGCTTCAAACCCAACTTCTTTAAAACATTTTCTCTTTTATTACGGCAAATACAGTTAGCAAAAACAAAAAATTGTTTTAAGTCATTAATAACTGCTTGCATAAGTTCATTCTTTTCATATTGTTCTAAAATAACATTGTCCAAAGAAAAGGTTGAGTCATTTTCTTTATCGTCAAAGTTATTAAAGTTAGACATGATCATATAAGATTAAAAAACTTTTTTAAAATTTTGTATTACATTGATTTTTTATTACATTTTTGTTCTAAAAATAAACTGTAAATAATGATGTAATTTTATGTCGATCAAATTTTAAGTTCTAATTTTCTCAAAAAGTAAAATATTTTTCAGAGAGGTATTTTGCTAGTCTATGACCTAAATATCATGTGATAAAAAAGTTTCTTCAAGTATAATTATATAATTTCAAAAAAATAGATAAATAAATATTGACTTAATGAAATGTTATATTAAATATCTTAATTATATGAAAAGTTCAAATAGTCAATTAAAATTTCCTACTATAATAGTATATGATTTTTTAAAAGATATATAAAAAATCTGTTAAAAACAAATTTCATAAAAATAATATTAATTTAATAGTCATTCCAGATAGTTTAACAAGTATTTATTAATCTCTTGATATTACTATTAATAAACTATTCAAAGATAATCTTTGTAAGAAATAGCATCTTTAAATATTTAATAGTAATTATAGATGCCTGCCGAAACCTTCTCAAAATAATTTCGTCATATCCTTTTCTATGTTTTTAATATAGTTTCGACAG